GGATGTGGGCGTGGATGTGGGTTTGGGTTTGGGTGTGGGGGTGTGTGTTGGCGGAGGGTGGGGGGGAGGGAGGGAGGGAGGGAGGGAGGGACGGACGGACGGACGGACGGACGGAGGGAGTTAGAAGGAGGGAGGGAGGAAGGAGGCAGGCCAATTTTATGTGTCAGAAAGGTGGGGATGGGGACATTGCAGCACGCATGGTATGGGCACTTGGACTTGCAGCGCGCCTGCTCACTCCATTCCTGTGAGTGGTGGTGAGGAAGGGAATACTGGGCCGTTGTGCAGGAGAAGAGGATGAGGTGGATGTGAGCACACTCATGCAGGCCCGTGCACACCTTTGCACACTTACGCACACATATCCATCATGCTTACCAGCTATGCTGGTGTGAGTGATGATCGCGACGTTCTGCTGTCATGTGTGGGTGTGACTCTCGTCCCTAACATACTGCCACCACAAGTTTCCTGTTGAGCTGTTGATGCTTCTCTGGGCTTTTACTACACGCTCTTGATTCCCATCCCTCCCTTATGTTCAGCCACCCAGTCCTCCTTGTGCCCCACCGTTTGTCCTCAGTCTTATCTCACTAACACACCTTGCACACTGACATCACACATGTACCAATCCTCTGCCACACCCACTCCTCGTTTTTCACCCCTCCACCCCCTCTTACCCTGCCCGTTCCCCTCCCCTTGACAGGCCAAATCTACTCAGTGAATGATGCGCGCTACTTTGACTGGCCAGCCGGGCTGCGGCGCTACATCGACGCGATCCGGCAGGGCAAGGGGCAGTCGGGCAAAAAATACTCAGCGCGCTACATCTGCTCACTCGTAGGAGATTTCCACCGCACACTGCTCTACGGCGGCGTTGCCATGAACCCCCGCTCGCACCTGCGCCTTTTGTATGAAGCCAACCCGCTCGCGTTCCTTGCGGAGCAGGCCGGGGGGAAGGGCAGTGATGGGGTGAGGAGGATTCTGGATATCGAGCCGTCGGGGAAGCTGCACGAGCGGCTGCCCCTGTTCCTGGGCAGCCCGGAGGATATTGATGAGTTGGTGGGGTATGGGGACGTGCAGCAGGTGGTTAACCCGGGGTATGAGGTCTGAGGGCTTGAGGTGCGCTCAAAAGCAGGCTTGTTATAGGCACGCTCTTTTTGTTGCTTCTTGAGCTGGTGGAGATGACGCTCTTTTTTTTAGATGACTTTGATTTGAGTCGACTAAGAAGTCTGTCACAATGCTAGGCCAAAACGAGAAACAGGCAAGAAGGGTTTTGACTAACAAGCATAGGGATACATATATGCAAACCCTAGAAGGGCTGTACTCGCTATAGAGTACCCCACTGCAGGCTAGACAACCATCACATTCTGACAAAGTCTGCTTTTTGGTGTTCCTTGTGCTGGAGGAGCTTGGGGATGAACAGCTGGTTGTGGGCTCTGGATTTGAGAAATTCTCAGACGAAACAATGGCCCTTGTCTGAACTTTCAGAAGAAATGTATGCACTCCTATAAAAAGTTTGGAAGCGCCCACAACACCAGGAATCGAACTCTGCCCCCCGCGAAAAACAACGAAAACGACTAGTCTAGACTACACCTGGTGGGAAGGTCAGCAAATTATTACTTTGTCCACTTTAAAGCAAAAGTCCACTGTCAGGTGTTCGGAATTTGTCTGTTCAAGACAGAAATGTACTCGCTGTCTGAGTACTCAGACAAGCTACCGTAATCACCCGGACAAAACACCCCCCCGTAATAGTACACCCCCGGGTAGCTTGTGCGGGGGGGGTGCTATAGCCGACCTCGTTTGTACTATACCCCCCTTTTTGGGATGATTCTCTATAACACCCCCCTTTTCTTACGAAACCCTATTATAGCTGTTATCGAGTCAGATTTTTTACGGGAATATCGCTTCCTGAATGAAATTTCGCGTGCACTTTCACTTCGAATCTACCGAGATTCCCTCCCTTCCACAATTTCGCTGTCGCCACGCTGGCGAATCTTCCGCTGCACGTGGCTGTCAAAATGCTAGGCCAAAACGAGAAACAGGCAAGAAGGGGTTTTGACTAACAAGCATAGGGATACATATATGCAAACCCTAGAAGGGCTGTACTCGCTATAGAGTACCCCACTGCAGGCTAGACAACCATCACATTCTGACACACCCCCATAGTCAAAGTGGGGTACAATCAACATAACAAGCAGACAGAGCAATAGTTCACAATTATAAGCAAAGCTAGAGGCTATCACAGAGGGCAAGTGAGGAGGAGGAGAAAACTGTGGGAGCAAGAAGATGAGAGGCGACGGCTGTCAAACATTATATGTTTGTATTGCTCTAGCCTGTAGTGGGTGATACCTTAGGGGGTACACCTAGTTAGGGTTTCACATTTGTACTCCTCTTTCTCCTAGTCACATTCATTCCAGTCTCGTAATCTTGACATGGTTTCAGAGCAGGTCCTTCCCTAGGACCGTTCTTAAGGGCCCACCTACCTACCTACCTACCTACATACCTATCAAGCGCCCCTAGTGCGCCTCCTATTGCGCCCCTAGTGCGCCTCCTAGTGCGCCCCTAGTGCGCCACCTTTTTTTTACCGCGCGCGATCTGCTAGCCGCCCGCGCGCGGCCTATTTCGTGCGCGCGACCAGCCAGCAGCCCGCGCGCGGCCATTTTTCGCGCGCGGTTAGCTCGCCGCCGGCGCGAGCGGTTATTTTTTCTTCGCGCGCGGCCCGTCGCGCTGCCCGCGCGCCTTGTGTGCTGCGCTCGACCCCCCCGCGCCTTCGTCGCCGCGGTCGGGCCTGCAGCAACAGCCGCGGCAGAGACTGCAGTCGCGGCCGTCGCAACTGCTGCAGCAGCCGCCGCCGCCTCTCCTGCCGCGGCCGCCGCATCTACTGCAGCAGCCGCCGCTGCAGCTACAGCAGCAGCAGCCGCCGCATCTTCTGCAGCAGCCGCCGCTGCATCTACAGCAGCAGCAGCCGCCGCACCTTCTGCAGCAGCCGCCACTGCATCTACAGCAGCAGCAGCTGCCGCATCATCTACAACAGCGGCCGCCGCCGCATCTACGGCAGCAGCAGCCGCCGCAATCTACAGCAGCGGCCGCCGCAACTACAGCAGCATCAACCGCTGCCGCCGCCGACCCAGCAGCAGCAGCCGCCGCCGATCCTGCAGCAGCCGCAACCGTCGAATCTACTCCATCGGCCGCCGCCGGCCCTGCAGTCCCTACTCTAGCCGAACCTGCAGCAACTGCCGCCGCTGTCGCGACTGCCCCGGCCCTGCCTTGCCCTGCTGCTACTGTCACTACCACGTTTATTACTTACTTTTCCTCCTCCTGCTACCATGGCTACTGCTCCTGTTCTAGCCTTCGACGCTGAGGGCCGCCCAGTGAAATTTGACACCTGGCTCGATGATCTGCACCTTTTCCTACAGCTCACTGCCAAGGAAGACATTTCACTGTACGACCACGCCCTAGGCCATGCTACTGCCCCTGACTCCTCTGCTGCTAGCACACTGCGCTCCCAGTGGCAGACCCGCGACGCACACGCTCGCTTTGCTATCCGCAACTCCCTGCCGCTAGATGAGCGCGAGCACTTCGGCCAGTGCAAGACTGCTAAGGAACTGTACACAGCCGTAGTTGCTCGCTACTCCTCGCCTGCGTCTGCCACCCTAGGCCGCCTCTCCCTGCCCTACCTGTTCCCCGACCTGGCCTCCTTTCACACTGTCGCTGATCTCATCACCCACCTCAAGACTAGTGAGGCCCGTTTTCGCGCTGCTATGCCTGCCGAGTTCCTTGCTAGCAACCCCCCTCCGCTCTGGCTCACTCTCTACCACATTGTCACCCGCCTCCCTGACTCTCTGCGCTCAGTCAGGGACTCCTTTCTAGCTCGCTCCCCTACTGAGCTCACCATTGCCCTCCTCGAGAAGGACCTACTTGCAGCTGAGGCGAGCATCGTCGCCGTAGGTGCCTCTCGTGGCGAGCCCCGCACCCCCTTCTTCGAGGGGTGTTCCCCTTCCCCCCTTCTCCCCTCTGTCGCCACTGCTGCTGCTGTCGACCTCCTTGGTGCTGAGAAGGTCGGGGCTGCGTCTGCTTCGAGCGGGCGCCGCAAGAGCAGGGGGGGCAAGGGTGGGGGTGGAGGCGGGGGAGGCGGGGGTGGAGACAGTGGAGGTGGCGGTGGGTCTGGAGAGGCTAGTGGCGGCAGTGGGGGTGGTGACAGCGGCGGCGGGGGTGGTGGCAGAGGCGGAGGTGGCAGCGGCGGCGGTGGCGGTCGTGGCCGTGGCAGGGGTGGAGGTGGCCGTGGCCGTGGCGGTGGCGGTGGCGGTGGCGGTGGTGGCCGTGGAGACGCTGGAGGTGGCCAGAGTCAGCAGCACGCCCCGACCCTCCAGGCCGCCCGTGAGTGGTACGCGCAGCGTGGGTACACTTGCACGTACGTCATCCGCACTGGTGACCGCACTGGCCAGCCATGTGGGAGGCCGCACCCCACACAGCGCTGCTTCCTACCTTTGAAACCTGTGGACCCTGGGTTTTAAGGCCCGACGGAAGCAGTGGGTGCACAGCATGGTGGCAGCGAGGGACTAACATGTTGTGCATGAAGAGCGCATGGTAGGCCCGTGCAGAGACGATGCGCACTTTGAGCCGGTGCTCCGTCTCCCAGTTGAGAAACTGGTCGTTCACAAACACCTGCACCACACACACACGCACACACGGCACACAAATCAGATTCCTCTAGAGTCGAGATCCGTTCAGCTCGCCCCGGTAGTAACCACTAGGGTGCTTACTGCTGCAAAGTCCAAGCAGCGTTGAGCAAAACTTGTAACCGTACCTTGTCGAGCGAGTTGAGGTAGTCCACCGCTCTCTCGCGGTTCACCAGAAATGTCTCCTCGTCCATCTCGATGTTGGGCGACCCCCTGCCACGCCAAACCACGTCACGTCAACCAGCTCGTCAGGGGAAGCAACTCGAAAGTAAACGCAGAACTTGCAGCAGAATTACTGGCCATGGTGGCACAGCAGAAAACTGAGGCACTTACTCGCCCCACCACAGGTCGTCGCTGGAAGTTTCCTCCTTGACGACGCGCTTGTCCTTGGGCGATCGCCCCGTCTTGGCTCCCGAGAGCGTCGCCAAGGCGCCGGACGACGTGATAAACGACCCCTTTTCGTACTTGATCGCCTGCTCGTAGAGTTCTGAAGGACACAAGCGACAAGGACACACGGGAAATCAGCCAATGAACGAGCAGTCCCACGCAAAAAAGCTTGCTAACAAACCGTGTGACTCAAGTTGCTTGCAGAAAAGCATGCCACATCTTTCATTCCACTCCCCAGTCCCACGTGTTTCGGGACGCGCACTGACCAGCGGGCGACAGGTTGTAGAGCACGTGCGTGAGTTTGAGCGAGCTGTCGCTGACGCACGGCTGCGACGGAGCGACGGCCCTGTGGCCCTGCGACGCCGGCTTGCACTTGCTCGTCACAATCTTGGGCCCATGCTCCCGCACGTGAGATGCCAGAGACGCACTGCGATAGAGAATGACGGCGAGATATTCATGATAAGACTACTTCCTCTACTATACTTCATTCCCGACACACGTAACATGTAAAGAGTCTCGAACAGATTAGGCGTTCTGCGAGCGCTCACCTGATGGACTCGAGCTGTTGCTGGAATTTCTCGCCGTTCTGATCGCCGGTAGTGGAGCCCCTGGGCGTGGTCGGGTTGGACTTCTTCTTCTGCAGCCGGTGAAGCTCGGCCATGGTGGATGCCTTGATCGGCGGCGCCGTGTCGTTCTGGCACACCTCCCTCCCGCGCACGTCGAGGAGAGTCAAGCCGTTGGCCGTGGGAGCAGCAGTTGTCGACATGTCCAACTCGAATGTGGTGACGAGAGAGCACAAAATGGTGCAACTAGTGATACTGCAACTACTTGTAAGGAGATTCGAGTACTCCCTCGTCAGGTGACCAGCGATGAAATATGAACGACGACGATAACAAGAATCAGCACGTGGGATTCCCAATGTTAGCAACCGGAAAACAAGCACTTCTTATTCTTGAACGAGCGTCGAACGAATCTAACGCCGACTGGTGTGGGGCCGCGACTGGCCCAACCAGGTCAGGTGGGGCAACCCGTGTGTGCTGAGCTGACGAGGAGGGAAGCAGCGGAGTTGGTGCGACCAGAGGTATGGAAGGGAGTGGAAGAGAATGCGAACATGCGCGCACGCAAGACGAGCGTGAGGTGGGACGAGGCGCGCCGATTATCCGCCAATGGGAGGCCAGGCTGCCGCTTGGGCGTTTGTCATCAGATGGTGTGCGCGATCCGAATACAGCTCCCGTGGGGTGGTGCGAGGCGACAAGTCTGCGTCACGCCAAGTCAGTGGGCCAAGAAAATGACCCGGCTGGGTTAATCCGACGTGTACATCACTGGACCACAGTAAGTCAACCCCGGGCCACGAAAGGTTGTAAGCCAATCACTGAAAGCGGGACCACCAACATCCAACTACAAACAAACTGTATAGATATACACCAATGACCTCTGCTCGTTACCGATTTATTTCACCAGCATTGCTTTAGATGACAATATTTTACCACCACACGCAACCACTTCACTTCTGGAGTTTTGAATCAATAAAGTTGCCTCGTTTTATGGCAGATGCTGAGAATTGTGAAAGATGGTGTGGCGTGTACTCAGGTACCATGTGAGAAAAGTGAAACCCCTCCCCTGCGTTGGACTATCAGACCACATCCTGTGGAGGAAACCATCCAGCAGAGTGCAGAGGTCTGACACAACAATGGCAAGAATTTGGCCTTGAAACAAAAGCTCAAGCCAGGAATACATGTGTGCAACCTGAAGCAGACACACATAGGGTCAAACAAATGCCACGGCGACAGGGTAGAGTAGAGCCTATGCCATGGAATATAAACCCTCCTCAACAATCCACTACATATGATATGCATACGCCTCCAACCAGACCAGAGCCTAGGGCAGTGCTGCTTCAACAAGCACCAGAAGAGCTGCACTGCTTTTCAGACCACGCGTTATGCTTTATAGAGCTCCCACGTCCTTTCTCCCATCCCATAGGAGGTGTTCCCAACCTCCCACTCCATCCCCGGCCACCCTCACACAAAGCGGTGAAACAGTGCCTCCGCCAGCTCCTGCTTGCCTGACCCCACCTCGGGCTCCTTACCGCCATCCGCCAACACTGCCGCTTCCAGCTCCTCAAACCCCACCTCGCCCTTCTCAATCCGCGGACCAATCCCCTCCTTCCAGCTGGCATACCGCCCCTGCACCAGCTTGTCCAGGTCCCCAGCCTCGATAATAGCAGCGGCGCTGCGCAGCCCGCGCGCGAGCGCGTCCATGCCCGCGATGTGTGCAATGAACAGGTCTTCCACGTCTGTGCTCTCCCTTCGCAGCTTCGCGTCGAAGTTGATCCCCCCCGGCGCCAGCCCGCCGTTGCGCACGATCGCCAGCATCACGCGCGTTGCGGCAGCGGGGTCCGTCAGAAACTCGTCCGTGTCCCACCCGGTCTGCGCGTCGCCCGTGTTCGCGTCCACGCCGCCCAGCGCGCCCGCGATGCGCGCCGTCTCCAGCTCGTGCTCACAGCTGTGTCCCGCCAGCGTCGCGTGGTTGCACTCCAGGTTCAGCTTGAACGGCTGTAGCGTGCCTGTAGCCGCGTCGAGCCGCGTGAGATTGTAGCGCACGAGAAACCCTAACGTGGTGGCGGCATCCCAGTCGTACTGGTGCTTCGTCGGCTCCTGCGGCTTAGGCTCCATCAACAACGTGCCTTTGAACCCTAATTTCTCTCTCCACTCCGCAGCCATGGCGAGGAATCGCGCTAGGTGGTCCAACTCAAGTCCCATATCCGTGTTAACCAAGCTCGAGTACCCCTCGCGTCCCCCCCAGAACACGTAGTTGTCGCCGCCCAGGCGGTGCGTCACCTCCATCGCCTTTTTCACCTGCGCCGCGGCGTACGCGAAGACGCTCGCCACGGGGCTGGTCGCGGCGCCGTGGCGGTACCGCGGGTGCTTGAACAGCTGCGCCGTGCCCCACAGCGGGCGGATGCCCGTCTGCGCCTGCAGCTCCGCCGCGAGCGCAACCACCTCGTCGAGATTCGCGTTGGTTTCCGCGAGCGTTGCGCCTTCCGGCGCGATGTCGCGGTCGTGGAAGCACCAGTATTGCGCGCCGAGCTTCGACATGAACTCAAACGCCGCGCGCATGCGGCGCTTAGCCATGGCGAGAGAGTTGGTGCCGTCCTCCCACGGCCAGTGCTTCGAGGGGGAGCCGAACGGGTCGGATCCGTCGCCGCGGAACGTGTGCCAGAACGCCACGGCGAATCGCAGCCATTCCTTCATCGGACGGCCGAGAATGACCTCATCCGCGTTGTAGTAGCGAAAGGCGAAAGTGTTGCGCGACGATGGGCCTTCGTAGACAATCTTGGGGATTGCTTGGAAGAACTCGCCCTGCCATTCCTTGGCTTCCGCGGATTCGGGATCCCAGCCGCACGTCTCGACAGCGTGGACGAGCGGCGGGATGAGCACGCAGGCGACGATTCCAAGGAACAAGAGCGCGCGGCTCGCGCGGGGAGAAACCATAGAGACAGCCATGGTGGAGAAAGAAGTGCAGGGTAGAACGTGAGGGGCGAGATTTGAGGGGGCAGGGACACAGCAGTGGTGACGTGCCTTGTTGCTGGATCTGTTCTGCCGTATGCCTGCATTCCCCTGCCAATGCGGTCAGACTAGTTAACAGATTCAGCGGGGAATTTCCGGGTGGTTAAGTATCTGTACTTACATTGGAACCGGTGCTTTTTCCGCGCAACTGAAGTTGTACACCATCATGAGAGCGAGTGGTCCGTGGGGATGTCACAGAACGTAAATTTTCCTCGTGATTTGGGGTTTCCCCAAACATTCTCCTGATTTAGGCAACAACAGCCCCAGTGGATTTCAAAGCCTATCCACTTTCCCTCTTCAAACTCCACCTGGCAGAATATCACAACTATGCTCAAACGAAAAAGAAAGTCTTCGCCACGGCTTGTGACTGTACACGAAAAGGCCATTCAAAGTTTACCTCGTCGCAGCCCCTTGACGAAACCAATCCTGTCTAGGTTCGCGTTCCTTGCCCAGCTCAGCAGCACTTGCCACCACGTACCCCCTCCTCCCTGCATTCCAACAAACAAATTCCACATTTTCTGTCTGTCTGCAACACATTTATCGCCCTTTCGCTCGGTCGCGGTCGAGCTCTGTGTCTCGTCCCCTTCCCACGATGCTCGTCTCGCTCTGCTCTGTGTCGCACTCGCCCCTCCTCTGCACGCTTGAACTCTCTCGGGCCTCCTTGCGCACCGCTCTCGCACATTCCCGTTGCTCCGCCTCTCATACCTTCCATCCGAGCCGTCCCTCGTCTCCTGCGCCCTTCCGCCCACTGCTTCCGCGCAAGTCGTCATCGAATTTGCCTCTCCGCAGACATTCCCCCGCCATGCAAGTCGTACGGTCGCAGGCGGGCGATGCGACGGTCGTCGTCAGGCCGTCGCTGCCGTCGCTGCAGGAGTTCCTAATGGAATCCCTGGCGACGCCCGCCGGCGACGGCGGCGGGAAGGGCGCGAGCGAGGGAGGGGTCGACAGCGATCTGGTGCTGCTGCTGCTGACGCTGCACGACGCGATGAAGCGCATCGCCGTCACTGTGAGCCGTCTCAACATCGAGACCGCCATGGGAGCGCGGCTGAGCGGCGTCAGCGGCAGCAAGAACGAGTCGGGCGACGCGCAGAAGCCACTCGATATTGTGTCGGTAAGGGGTTGGGTTCTTTCGACGCAGGCGTGGTCGCGTGCGGTACCAAGCGGTACAACGGTCGGGGCGCGGGCGTGAGGAGCGCGATGTTAAGTGTCTGTGACGAGTGCTCGCGTAATGTGCACTAAACTCTTGGCGTTCCGTACGGCAGCTTCTTGAGTACACCGGCTCCTATACTCTGAATGGAAAATCTTGCACTTTTCAATGTCTTTCCTCCCGCTGCTAACACTCACCACCCTTTTTGTTGCCACCATCTGCCATCTTCCCATCCCTCTCCTCTCCTCCCCTTCTCCTCTTCCCCCCCTCCCTCCGCCCTTCTCCCCCTGTCCCTGCATTCCCCCCTCTATCCCATCTGCCATCCCATCCCACACGACATGCTTGATTCTCCTTCCCCAGAACGACATCATAAAGGCAACGCTAGCGGCATCGCGGCTGGTGTCAGTGGCGGCATCAGAGGAGGACAACGACGTGGCGCAGCTCACAGCAGGCGCGCCGTACGCAGCCGTGTTTGACCCACTGGACGGCAGCCGGAACATCGACGCCGGCATTCCCACCGGCACCATCTGGGGCCTCTACCGCTCCCCACCTCCTGCCACCGCTGCTGCTGCTGACGCTTCTGCTGCTGTTTCCTCTGCAGCTGCTGCGGTGCTGCAGCCGGGGCGTGCGCTGGTGGCGAGTGGGTACGTGCTGTACTCGTCTGCTGTGGTGGCGGTGCTGAGCGTGGGGCGCGGCACGCATGCGTTCACGCTGGATGAGAGCACGGGCGAGTGGCTGCTCACTGCCCGTGACATGCGCATTCCCACCCGAGGTAAGCTGTGAGTGTGTGTGTGTGTGTGTGTGTGTGTGTGTGTGTGTGTGTGTGTGTGTGTGTGTGTGTGTGTGTGTGTGTCTGTGTGTGTGTGTGTGTGTGTGTGTGTGTGTGTGGATGTGGGCGTGGATGTGGGTTTGGGTTTGGGTGTGGGGGTGTGTGTTGGCGGAGGGTGGGGGGGAGGGAGGGAGGGAGGGAGGGAGGGACGGACGGACGGACGGACGGACGGAGGGAGTTAGAAGGAGGGAGGGAGGAAGGAGGCAGGCCAATTTTATGTGTCAGAAAGGTGGGGATGGGGACATTGCAGCACGCATGGTATGGGCACTTGGACTTGCAGCGCGCCTGCTCACTCCATTCCTGTGAGTGGTGGTGAGGAAGGGAATACTGGGCCGTTGTGCAGGAGAAGAGGATGAGGTGGATGTGAGCACACTCATGCAGGCCCGTGCACACCTTTGCACACTTACGCACACATATCCATCATGCTTACCAGCTATGCTGGTGTGAGTGATGATCGCGACGTTCTGCTGTCATGTGTGGGTGTGACTCTCGTCCCTAACATACTGCCACCACAAGTTTCCTGTTGAGCTGTTGATGCTTCTCTGGGCTTTTACTACACGCTCTTGATTCCCATCCCTCCCTTATGTTCAGCCACCCAGTCCTCCTTGTGCCCCACCGTTTGTCCTCAGTCTTATCTCACTAACACACCTTGCACACTGACATCACACATGTACCAATCCTCTGCCACACCCACTCCTCGTTTTTCACCCCTCCACCCCCTCTTACCCTGCCCGTTCCCCTCCCCTTGACAGGCCAAATCTACTCAGTGAATGATGCGCGCTACTTTGACTGGCCAGCCGGGCTGCGGCGCTACATCGACGCGATCCGGCAGGGCAAGGGGCAGTCGGGCAAAAAATACTCAGCGCGCTACATCTGCTCACTCGTAGGAGATTTCCACCGCACACTGCTCTACGGCGGCGTTGCCATGAACCCCCGCTCGCACCTGCGCCTTTTGTATGAAGCCAACCCGCTCGCGTTCCTTGCGGAGCAGGCCGGGGGGAAGGGCAGTGATGGGGTGAGGAGGATTCTGGATATCGAGCCGTCGGGGAAGCTGCACGAGCGGCTGCCCCTGTTCCTGGGCAGCCCGGAGGATATTGATGAGTTGGTGGGGTATGGGGACGTGCAGCAGGTGGTTAACCCGGGGTATGAGGTCTGAGGGCTTGAGGTGCGCTCAAAAGCAGGCTTGTTATAGGCACGCTCTTTTTGTTGCTTCTTGAGCTGGTGGAGATGACGCTCTTTTTTTTAGATGACTTTGATTTGAGTCGACTAAGAAGTCTGTCACAATGCTAGGCCAAAACGAGAAACAGGCAAGAAGGGTTTTGACTAACAAGCATAGGGATACATATATGCAAACCCTAGAAGGGCTGTACTCGCTATAGAGTACCCCACTGCAGGCTAGACAACCATCACATTCTGACAAAGTCTGCTTTTTGGTGTTCCTTGTGCTGGAGGAGCTTGGGGATGAACAGCTGGTTGTGGGCTCTGGATTTGAGAAATTCTCAGACGAAACAATGGCCCTTGTCTGAACTTTCAGAAGAAATGTATGCACTCCTATAAAAAGTTTGGAAGCGCCCACAACACCAGGAATCGAACTCTGCCCCCCGCGAAAAACAACGAAAACGACTAGTCTAGACTACACCTGGTGGGAAGGTCAGCAAATTATTACTTTGTCCACTTTAAAGCAAAAGTCCACTGTCAGGTGTTCGGAATTTGTCTGTTCAAGACAGAAATGTACTCGCTGTCTGAGTACTCAGACAAGCTACCGTAATCACCCGGACAAAACACCCCCCCGTAATAGTACACCCCCGGGTAGCTTGTGCGGGGGGGGTGCTATAGCCGACCTCGTTTGTACTATACCCCCCTTTTTGGGATGATTCTCTATAACACCCCCCTTTTCTTACGAAACCCTATTATAGCTGTTATCGAGTCAGATTTTTTACGGGAATATCGCTTCCTGAATGAAATTTCGCGTGCACTTTCACTTCGAATCTACCGAGATTCCCTCCCTTCCACAATTTCGCTGTCGCCACGCTGGCGAATCTTCCGCTGCACGTGGCTGTCAAAATGCTAGGCCAAAACGAGAAACAGGCAAGAAGGGGTTTTGACTAACAAGCATAGGGATACATATATGCAAACCCTAGAAGGGCTGTACTCGCTATAGAGTACCCCACTGCAGGCTAGACAACCATCACATTCTGACACACCCCCATAGTCAAAGTGGGGTACAATCAACATAACAAGCAGACAGAGCAATAGTTCACAATTATAAGCAAAGCTAGAGGCTATCACAGAGGGCAAGTGAGGAGGAGGAGAAAACTGTGGGAGCAAGAAGATGAGAGGCGACGGCTGTCAAACATTATATGTTTGTATTGCTCTAGCCTGTAGTGGGTGATACCTTAGGGGGTACACCTAGTTAGGGTTTCACATTTGTACTCCTCTTTCTCCTAGTCACATTCATTCCAGTCTCGTAATCTTGACATGGTTTCAGAGCAGGTCCTTCCCTAGGACCGTTCTTAAGGGCCCACCTACCTACCTACCTACCTACATACCTATCAAGCGCCCCTAGTGCGCCTCCTATTGCGCCCCTAGTGCGCCTCCTAGTGCGCCCCTAGTGCGCCACCTTTTTTTTACCGCGCGCGATCTGCTAGCCGCCCGCGCGCGGCCTATTTCGTGCGCGCGACCAGCCAGCAGCCCGCGCGCGGCCATTTTTCGCGCGCGGTTAGCTCGCCGCCGGCGCGAGCGGTTATTTTTTCTTCGCGCGCGGCCCGTCGCGCTGCCCGCGCGCCTTGTGTGCTGCGCTCGACCCCCCCGCGCCTTCGTCGCCGCGGTCGGGCCTGCAGCAACAGCCGCGGCAGAGACTGCAGTCGCGGCCGTCGCAACTGCTGCAGCAGCCGCCGCCGCCTCTCCTGCCGCGGCCGCCGCATCTACTGCAGCAGCCGCCGCTGCAGCTACAGCAGCAGC